AACCACAAAAACCTATTTTTCACCAAAACGACAAAACCGCAATTTTCCGAGAATCCCACAAAACACAGTTTTCCACCAAAACAGATTTTCGTCAAAAACGCAATTTTCCGCCAAAAAAAAAAATTTACGTTAAAACCTCAAAATCAAACTTTCACTTTAAATATAATTTTTGCATCAAGACCACCAAAATACACTTTTCCGCAAAAATAAAAGAAAGAATTTTTCCGTCGAAACTATAAAACGAGTTTTCTCACCAAAACCGAAAAACATGTCTTCCTTCCAAAACAGAAAAACAAGTTTTCCAGCCCAAACCGAAAAATGTATTTTCCCGCAAAAATCAAAAAACGCATTTTCCACTAAAACCATAAAAACGTGTTTTCGCACCAAAAAAAAAAAAAAACATGGTCCAACCAAACGCGTTTTCTCGCATTAACGTGTTTTCCCGCCAAACCAGAAAACACGTTTTCCGTCAAATCCGAAAAAACAAAACTTTCCGCCAAAACCAGAAATTTGTTTTCACGTCAAAACATCTTTTCTGCAAAAACCCTAAAACATTTTTTCCACCAAAATGTATTTTCTCGCAAAACGCATTTTATCAGTAAAAACGCAAAAACACATTTTTCCGCCAAAATTTCAAAACCGAGTTTTCCCGCCAAAACCACCAAAAAACGTGTTTTACCGCCAAATTTGCAAAGCGCGTTTTTCCGCCAAAACTACCAAAACACTCCCACCAAAACCGAAAACACCAAAATGTCAAAATGCTAATTTTAAAATATTTCAGTGTAAATATATTTTAGACTAAATAATAAAAATTAGTATAGTTAAAATTAATATCAAACATATAATAAGGATATATTTGTAATTTGATTATTAAACTTATCTGGATGGAAAAAGAAAAAGAAACGAACATAAAATCCATAGAGATGGTTCATCTAGATGGAGAAACAAAGAGCACCTAAAATCTGGATGGATCACATATATGGAGCACAGCTGGATGGAGATGACAGATGGAGAAACGAACAACCCCTAGCTTTGTTTGGATATGAAGCGGAGGGAATTTTATGACAAAGATGGTGTTTTTACAAAGTGGTAGAGATCCTATGTGATTCAGTAAATGGTTTGGATTCCGGAGAGATAGAGTCACACTTCATGACCTATGTTGATGAGTGAAGAAAATTCAACCCGGTGCACAAATTAGAGCAACCTTAAATTCGTTGTAATTTTTACGACGACTGGATTTAGTCGTAACATCATCATAAATAAGATCATTGTAAATGAGATGTAACCTTACGTCCTTTTCTATTGTCGTAACATGGTCATAAAACCCTGTTGTTAAGGCGTCATAATAATAATCGTTAATAACTGGTAAACTGGTTGTAAATATTACGACTATTTAACATCAATGTGGACGTAATCGAGTCATAAAATTTATGACCCCTTTACATTGAGATTAGATGTTAATTGGTCGTAGATTTTATGACTCATTTACGTCAAATATATATAATATAATTTTTGAAAATATTTAATTTAAAAAATTAAATTTTAAATTAAATTTATTAAATTTTAAATTAAATTTATTAAGTTGAATATCAAAAATTTCAAAGAAAAATATCATATATCAAAATTATAATCTAATATATCCAAAATATAATAAAATCTAAAATAAATAAAGATATCTAATCGTAACGGGTGATGTCGTCGAAGAGCTGGGAACTACGCTGCTCGGACTGTCGCTCCATACCACCTGCTCTTCTGGAGTTGGGTTGCAGTTAATGGTTGGACGTAGAGTCCGCCACATCTCTGCAAGAGCCGGGTTTGCCTCTGCAATAACATCAATCATCTCAGCAATGGCCCTAATCTGGCTCATGTTCTCCGCACACTCTTGCCGGATCTGAGAATCTTCATTTCTTCTTGCGGTGTATTCAGCTCTTGCCCTCCGGACATCGTTCACCGTACCGAGCCTCCCCATCCATCTCCTTTTCTTCAAGACAATCTTCAATCAATGAAATGAATGTATATTAGTACATATATATATTTTTTTTAAAGTTATACCTACTCAAAAAATTTGTCATGTTCCACGGTGGACGACTGGACCAGTTCGCCTTCTGGATTTTGTTGCGACAAATGGGTCTGGACCTCCTGGATCTGTGCCTCCACGTCGTTGTAGATCTTTTCAGCTCGAAGATCCACAAACGTTCCATCGGAATGCTGGTGCGTCGTCTTGTAAAATCGGGAAAGAGATGGTGGTGCTCCTTCCCGAGCGGCCTACAAAAACTTTAAATTAAATATTCATGTATTCAGTAAACAATTCATTGATAATTTAAAATTTATAAGGAAGATCAAGACTTACGATTTCTAGGTGCCTCCCGGCATGTGAGGTCTATTTAGAAGTATGGGGCATTGGAGAATTGCCTCCATCATCAGTCGTTAAGCGGGCCGTGGGGTAACTGTATGACGTTTGAACTGACCGAGGCAACATCCAATAAGCCTTCAAGCCAGTCCAAATGTGATCGCTGATGTAGATGGGTTTTGCGTTATCCCCTAAAACCCTCCACTTTTCCTTCCAATCACCGACAATGTTTTTCAGGTGCAACATCGCCTTGTTGTTGACCCGACATTCACCTTTTCGTTAACAGAAATAGTCCAGTTCCATTTTTGCTACAAAAAAATTATAAGAAAAGAAATACATAATTTATGTAAATATCACGAAATCAATAAAAAACATATAATTAAAACTTACCGCAAAGCACTTGAACCACGTCCTTCGAACGTGGTCTGGTGTAAGAGACCAGTTCGGATGAACTTACCGGAAATTTGCCTTGATGATCCCTGCAACACGATCCATCCCAAGCTATTGTCCATTGCAAACCTACAAAAGTCTACAAGATAGATCATTAGACCGAAATATATATATATATAGTACACAATTTAAATTTTAATCATATTAAAAATTTCCAAAAAATGTTGGGTGGTTGATCTGGGTCGACGATGCCTAAACCTCTCGTCCCGGCATCTGAGGAGGTCTTCCACCGTAAATCTATCATACAGTGCATCCGGTGGAACCATCAAATCCGGATGGATAGATGCAGGACCTGGACTTCCTCTACATTTTCTAATTCTCCAGCAATTATTGCGGTTGTTTCACGAAATGCATGTGCAACCATATTATGATCTACCACCTCATTCTCCTCATCGTGATTTTCAGACGGCAAATGACTTGGTTCTTCTCTATTACGAACATTTTCAACTTGATTACTACTACTAGCTTCATTCCTCCTATCACCTTCTCCATGATGAAACCAAATGTAGTAATGTGCGGTAGATCCTCTATTGACTATGTGTTTCCAAACCGTTTCACTAGAAGCAAATTTGGTATTCTTGCACTTACGACAAGAACAAAATATTTTATTGTTTCCTGCGTGAGAGACGTGTTTCCGGCCTGGTACATTTATATCTCGGCTCCGTTGAGAAAATCATTTGTCACTCTTCCTGCGGAATCTTTATGTGCGTACATCCAATTCCAAAGCTCATAGATAGGTCGAGACATTTGTTTTAGTATTTTTTTTTTGGTGGATCCGAATAATGAGAACGGAGAGCATATATAAAAGGAAATTTTGAATGTGGTAAGTGGAGAACTTTTAATACAAATTAACAACTACCACACATAAGTTGGTCGTTAAGTAGATGCAAAATAATTGATGTAATATAATCGTAAAGTTACCTCTGATTTACGACCAAATTTACGTGTAGTCATAAACTAGTTGTTAAATTACGTCTCTATTACGACGAATTCTGTTCTTCACAAAGTTACGTCCTATTTACGACCATTTTTATTTCGTTATAAAATGATTGTAACGTTAGCGTAAAATTACGACTACACTTCAATAGTCATAATTTGTAGTCGTTATGACCACGTTTTCTTGTAGTGTATAACTTCAGATTGATCTAACTTTGTTGCTTGACATCGATCGGAGCCTTCAGCTTTAGCCATGTAGCCATGTTTTTCACTTCATTTAGAGCTTTTGGTTTATGCTTTAATAGGCCTTTATCCATGGGCAAAATCTCTTAAAAACTCTCTGGCACACCTAACTGTAAACTATAGCTCTGTTCGTTTTACTAACGCTGTGTCAGAGTCAACCGATCAAATTAACAAACAAAACAGAGACATTTAATCGCAGCGTCACTATAAAATTGCTGCCGGCGACTGTTATTACCTATATTCTCCGCGTTTCGTCGCCGCTGTAAATATTAACGGCTCCCAAAGATGCGTTGACTTGACGCTAGCGTCAAATAGTATTATTTTTAACTCACCGTTGCTGACTTGGCATATATAATCCTTTTATAATTTGTTGCAGCTCAAGGTTGACGCTGTGTTATCCACCCGAACAGGGCTTATATTTGTATAGTCTAAAATACTCTTGTGGAATGAGGTCAGGTTCCATGATCAATTTTTCAGTAGGTCCTTTTTACTTAGTGGAATAACTAAAGACAAAATCTATAGTAAACAATTGGATAGAAATGAACGGCTTACTACGCATACGGCCCCAATCGCTTGCTACATATTTGAGGCGGGATTCTGGGTTAGCTTTACCAAGACGAAAACTTTATAGGTAAAAGGAAGTTATATTAAACGAGTGTGACTAGTTTCTTGCGATTTTCTAAATTTTCTGAAGATTGATATATGCCTTGTTTATAAGAGCCAATTTAAACGATCCTAGATATTTCTACAAGCATGTTTCTTTAGAGTATAGTCTGTTTTTAATGGGTTCGTGCTTAGAATGAGTATCGGTTTTGCTGGGTTCATACTGCTGTGTTTCGTTGGTCTTCTTGGGTTTGTGCTGTTTTGGTATTGTCTGAAGACTAGGGTTTGTTATCAAAAGCGTCGTCGGAACTCGGAAGTCTTGGGTTCGTGGAGTTCCTTCCGCTTTTGCGGTTAATTTGTACCATATTTTCTCGCTTTATACTTCTTTCGTTTCAGTGTTCAGCTCGATGATGGATTGGTCCGCTTCAAGTGTTTCTATAATTTCTGACAGAAACCTAAACATGATAATAAAAAACATAACATTTTACGGAAAAAACATCAACCAAACCATACACTTGATAGGATGACAAAATCTCCAAAAAGACAGAACACAAACAGCACATAATAGATTTAACACATGACGAGACCATTCTTTTGGCTGATCTCCACAATACCTATAAGCATTAGTAAATTCATAATTGCAAAAAAAAAGAAAAAAAAAATCTTAATTTCAAAAACATATTCAACATAATTCCATTTGAAGACGATGGAGCATTTTCCAGTTATTCGCGTAGGGAATGGCTAAATACATCTATTCCCTTTCCCTGAGGATTTTTCTTCCATTCCATGATCTCTTTGAACGTTTCTATGAATTCCTTCATGTGTAGTCGTTTCCATTCCTAAAAACACGCTACGATCAAACCACATTACTTATAGCTATGATCAGTTAACAAAGATGGACAAACCTCGAAATCCCATTCTCCATCGAGATCAGGATCTTCCTTATTGATCCATATATATGTTTTCACAGACATCTTCTCCGAATTGTCCTGTACATGCAAAAAGCAAAAACAATAGAATCAATCTTATCAAAACGTTGTATGTTTGGAGATGAAAATATTTAAACTCACCTCTCTTACAACACCAACTGTCACTCTTTCATATTCATTACCCTCAACAACATCTAAATTATTAAGTTCTTCATCCGTTAATCCCATTAGTACCTGCACCAAAATGCACCCAAAACTTCTCTAAAATCTAAACCATAAAATATCTTCAATCACGATCAAAAACAGCACCAAAAAAAAAGAAATAAAGTAGCAAACCTTTCCATGGACTTCTCCTGCCTCAGACGGCACAATACATGGATACAAACGTCCTTTAAGCCTAAGCCTCTTACTATAAAATAATCAAAAATCACCATCAAATCAAAGATCTATAAAGTAAGGTTAATCAATCGAGAGAGAAAGAGCAAGGCGTACAATCCAGGGAGTGTTACAGAGATGATCTCAGGAGTACGATCAAGCATGACACTGTTGACGCTAGGCTCCTGAAAGCTACCATAGACGAAGACATTGTGAAGCTGCGTACCGGAACTACTCATTTTTTTCTCTTCCACAGTTTTTTCTCTCTTTTTTGTTTTCTTATTTGCTTATGTTATTTATCCATAAGAGTTTCATTGGCTTTATAGCATGGAGGTAGTAAATTTTGACAGGAATACGAAGCCCGTGCAACAGCAACACGAGGTACGTATTCTCTTACGGCAGCCTTAGTTATCATTTACCAATAGCTTTCTTCTTTTTCTTCTCCTTTTTGTCGGCAATCAGACTTTACATATTTTTGCTAAAATTGTTATTCAAATAACAATCATAAAATATATTGACTGAAAGACGGGTCAAGAGACTTTTTGTCTTTTTTTTTTTTTTTTTTGAAAAATGGCTGTTCACACCACAAGATTTTTTGTCCTTGATAGTCAAAAAACAATTGATATAAAACTGGATGTGTACCAAAAAGATGAAAAAATGTTATTTTATAACAAGCTGTCATAAAAGATCCGATATGAATATCGCAAAAGAACAAAAGACTATAGTATAAAATTGGGCTGTACAAATTATTTAGTTTCTATTTTGATTCGTTGAATGACTTTTATGTAAACTTCTCGTATTAAAAGCGAAGTCACGTTCGTTTTTCTTCAGGATGCTAGCTGCATTGATTCAACATCTACATACAATTTCTAAATATACTCACTAAATACTGCTCATTTTAAATTGTTTTTTGCATTTTAAATAGTATATTCCGACGTTAAATTATTCTTTTATAAATATGTAAAAAGATTTAGTTGCAAACTAACCGACAACAATTTGTTAGGAGTGAGACTAAAAATAATGTTGATGATCGTAATAATCCTCAATAAGAATAACGACGTGGACGAAGCTAAAGAATGGTCGAGTGGAAGAAATTTGATCTATAGCCACAAAAATTGTTCAATGATGGCTGAATAAGGAAATTCGAATATAGATGATTCTGATAAGCAGCTTAAGTTCTAATAGGTACAATAAAAATGGATTAAACAAATTGAAATGAGTTTGACACAAAAAAATTACTGCTTGAAATCAAATGACATGAAGAGTATTAAAGATTTCAGAAAATTTAAAAAGCACTGGAAAACCAAAAATAAAAATAGACGTCCAAAGGAAAAAAAAAAAAAAACACTTGGACTAGTAGTTGCTGCCGGAGCACACCTTAAAGTGACCAATTTATCGAGGGAAGTTTATTCAAATAGTACATATTTTAGGACAAATAACTAGAACCATGCAAAATTTTTTTTATTATTGTTATTTTTTAAATACCAAACCTGCCCTTTTATTATGTTATGAGAAAAAACGTATTTACAAAAATACCGTTACTTTTTAATGCCATGTAAGCAAAAATCCGGCTCTGCGTAGGAAATCGCTGCCGTGTTTTCATTAAGTCAGCCGTAAAACGCTATAGATGTGGTTACGGCTGGGTTATTATTACGTTGTGGCTGAGTTAAACAACACAGCTGACTTAAGAGAAATTGGCTGACTTAAGAATATAAGTCAGCAGTTAGTGATGGCTGACTTACAGAAATATGGCTGATATATGGGATAACGGCTGACTTACGTACATAAGTTACGGCTGACTTATACATCGGCGATGTGATTTCTGGAAAATTCGGCTGAGTTGTAATTAAGACATGGCTGAGTTATGTTTCGCCGGCTGGGTTAATGAACATCGCCTAGCTGAGTTATTAAATTTATGGCTGACTTATGAGAGGATGTTACGGCTGAGTTATATTTAATCAGCTGTAACTGGCTAGATTAACAGTAAACTCAACATAATTACGGCTGACTTATTAGCAAAAGATTAATTACTAGAATATCATTCGTTTGACGGCTGATTTATTTGACGATACGGTTGACTTATAATTTTCTATCCTAATTATGATTGATTTATTAGTAAAAGATTAATTACTGAAATAGTATCATGTTTCAGCTGGTTTACGTTGTACTTGATGGCTGGTTTATTTAGGCTGAGTTATGTGTTCGTTTGGTGGCTGACTTACCGATTTTCCATGTCATGATCCCTGTCATCAACTCTTACTAACCATGTCATTACTAACATTGAAAAGATAAAAAAGATTTATGTTAGAGACGCAAAGTCTTATTCTTCATTCTTCATCTTCTTTATCTATCTTCTTCATCTTATTGTTCATCTTTTTCTTAGATCGTATGGATCTAGTAATTATTTTTTCGGCAACTGGGTCTAAAAAACATAGGTTTAAAAAAAATTAAAAATCTGAGACAGATTTACTGCAATCGTCATCTTCGATGATGGTCAGTTGAGAAGAAGCTTCCTCTCCTCCAGTGTCATGTATGGTGGTCTTACATCTTGTTGCTTCCTCTCCCATTGAATTCGCCATCTTGTAGAACAGTAAATAGTCAAAGAGAGAAATGAAAAAGCTAAGTTCCATAAATTGTAAGAAAAAAAAAGAGAATACGAAGAAGATGATGAATTTGAAAGCTAATTTTATGTGTTTAATGACTCAGATTTTTCATCATCTGAATTTGAGGTTCAAACTTAAGAAGAGATCAAAGTTTTAATATTGTGTTCATGGTTGACTTAATGATTTATTCTAGCCCAAAATAAGAAACGTCTTAAAAAAAATTACACTTGAAGGCTGACTTATAGGAACGTTACGGCTGACTTATACCATTCATATACGTTACTGAGTTATGCATACGTTAGGTCTGAGTTATGCATACTTTACGGCTGAGTTATACATACGTTAGAGCTGAGTTATGCATACTTTACGGCTGAGTTATGCATACGTTACGGCTGAGTTATAACTCATTGAATTGCAGCTGAGTTATGCATACGTTATGGCTGAGTTATGCATACTTTACAGCTGAGTTATGCATATGTTATGGCTGAGTTATGCATACTTTACAGCTGAGTTATGCATATGTTACGGCTGAGTTATAACTCATCAAATTGCAGCTGGGTTATGCATACATTAGGGCTGAGTTATGCCTACTTTACGGCTGAGTTATGCCTACGTTAGAGCTAAGTTATAATCAAATTATGGCTGAGTTTTTTTATAATCAAAGGCGAGTTATGGTTACAATACGAATTTTTTTATAACCAAGTCGACCAAAAAAGCTTCTGACAAGTTCAAGATTCATCATCCAAACTTAAATTGAAGTTAGAAACCAAAAGAAAAAATAAAATACGAGTCTATAGATTAGGAATCAAGAGACATATGCATAAACAACATAGATCTAGAAAAAAACAAAAATTGGAGATAGATCTATTGTAGTCGTCACCATCTTCGATGGTGGTTGGTTAGAGAAGAAGCTTTCTTTCCTCCAATATCTGTATGGTGATCTGACATCCTAATGTTCCTTTTTGTATGGTGATTCAACATCCTGATGCTCCCTCTCTCATCGGATTCGTCGTCTTTCAGAAGAAAAAAATAGTCAAAAAGAGTGATGAAACGGTTAAGTCCCGTCAATTATAAGAAAATGAGAGAATGATTTTTGACCTTTAGATTTCATTTAATCAATGACCATAAATTGTGATCCTTGAAAAGAAAGATTAACCAATGATAAAGAAGGGTGAGGATAGAGAAAATGATAACTTTGAACCCTTAGATTAAAATCAACCAATGGTCATGATTGCGTAATGTTCCCGCCCACCTCAGTGTTTTGCAAGTATTTAGTTCCTGCCAAAAAATACGAAACGTCGCGATTAAGTTACACTTTGCGGCTGAGTTATTAACATGTTACGGTTGAGTTATGTTTAGGATAAGTTTATGTTTTAGGGTTTAGGGTAAATTATTTGGGGTTTAGTGTTTAGAATTTATGTTTTCTGGTTTAGTTACCATTATAAAATATAAGAAATTACACAAATTCGGTTGAAAAAAATTATATGGTATACTTTGTATTTGGTGCATTCAACACCTATATAGACACATAAGGTTTTAAATATTTGTAAGACAACATATATCTCAAAATCAGGATCAATTCAAAACTTGTAAGTTCAATGAAATATACACACTCTGTTGACTATATATTCATCTAAAATTGATAATATTAATTTCTAATAACATATTAAAGTACATTTTTCAATATTAGGGTATGTTTGTGGTTTGGCTGAGTTATATGAAGCGTTACGGCTGGCTTATAGAACTGATACGGCTGGGTTAAAGTAATCTTTTTTTGATTTTAGGGTCTGTTTGTGGTATGGCTGAGTTATATGAAGCGTTAGTGCTGGCTTATAGAAACGATACGGCTGGGTTTTATTAAACTTTTTTGATATTAAGATATATTTGTGGTATGGCTGAGTTATATAAAGAGATACGGCTGGCTTATAGAAATGATACGGCTGATACATCCCATTTCTTCCTTCATCGAGGATATCTTCTGCCATCTTCACTCGTATACCTTGAATATTCTTAACTTTTATCCCATCAAAAGTCACGCCAAGCGTCAAACATTCCAAAAATTTCAATGAATACATTCCACAATCGCCAACTTGGTCATTTTGTGGAATGTATTTGTCTTTCCTCCTTCGGAACACAAACTGCTTCTGATTAGGTTTTCAAAGATTGGCAGGAATATTAGGTTTTAGAAGTCCCTTCAACGTAAAATCTTAGAGGATAATCCCGTGCTTGATCTTCAGAAACATCCATCTGATCCTTGAACACATATATATAAATCAACCGCAATAGAAATATTAACTTAGTCACAACATAATACATAACTCAGCCGTAATAGAAACAAAACTCAGCCACAACATAATATAACTCAGCTATAATACAACAAACTCAGCCACAACATAATACATAACTCAGCCATAATGCAACAAACTCAGCCGTAATAGAAATAATACTCAGCCACAATATAGTATAACTCAACCATAATACAACAAACTCAGCCACAACATAATCAATAACTCAGCCATACCATGATTTATAACTCAGCCGCAATAGATCACAACGTACATCAAACTCAGCCACAATATAAAATAACTCATTCACATCGCAAATCAAACTCAGTCTCAATATAATTTTGACTAGGCCACAACATACCGGAGAAGATGATACGATTGCGACGAAGGCAATTGCGGAGAAGAC